GAGTAAACAGTAATACAATTCCCTGCTCTTAAACAGTCCCATTGCTATTGCCATTGCCATGGAACAACAGACTTTATCTACTGCAAAAATCTGGGTCAAGCTTTAATTTCTGCTTTGTGTATTTATTTTGCAAACATAGTAAAGAATTCTGTAAACGACTTGCAATCCCATCAATTTAACAGCATTTTCTGGCACAAAGAGAAATACAGACTGGTCCTTGTTATGTTGCTGAGAAACTAATGACAGTTTAAGTTTTTGAGAAATAATGTGAAATTTATGGAAGGTAAGTTTGTTCTCTATTTGCAGTGTTGAGAAGAGGATGTTTTGTCTTCCGAGATGGTTTTAAAATTACCCATATGATACGAGAGGAAAAGGTTACACTATTTTCTGCTATAACAGAAGACTACCTCAGTTTTACGAAGTAATACTATACCTTGAAAGTCTTGGGGTGCTTCACCCCAGGCAGGCTTGATTTCCACATTCAGTCCATTCTTCTTTGGTTTTGTAGTAAACATTCCACCTTCCTTATTCTAAAATGTAATTCCATTTTAATTCCAGATAAATTTTTGCTTTTGCTCTAATCCTCTCTTGCTACATATCTAAGCTATTTATTTTCAATGCAAGCATTTGAAAAACTTCTATTATAAATGTATTTTTAAGATATTTGACACAAATTGTTCATAAAACACCACTGGGAAAAAAAAGGTCCCCCTGAAATTTTAATATTACAAAAAGGGCCAAAGCAGCAAAGATAGAGAGACAGAGAAAATAAAATATATTAATAGTATAGGCAGTTTAATCTCTAAGTAACATATATATATAACATTTTATATTCACACAGGAGGTTACAATTGCTAAAACTTACCTGTGTGGCTATATCTTTTAGAAAATTCTTGTCATCATCTTCAACAGAGAAAAGGATGTTTGGTTGCTTGTACTCTACCAGAAACACCTTTGTTACGACTGTGCTCTTCCTGTAGTCCCTGAAAATGAACATTCACAAAGCTATATACCTGCCATAAACCCTTGTGCATCAATGAGCTACTGATGAACATGGCTTATTTGGTTGAACATCTCTTCCAAGCTTGCCAGTTACTATTTCAGTTGATAAGTATAATCCTGGGCAATATTTAGTCGATAAAAAAACTTAAATGTGCTAATACTTGTTCAATTACAGCAGTAACATTGAAATTGCTGTAAATGTGCAACCACTCAGGATAAAAACATATTGGAAACAAGTGCCAGCCTAGGTAGTGATAAAAAGAAAATACACATAGGCCTAGGTTTTGCATGCCTCTGCACAGGGAATATAATGTTGTTATATTCCAGCACAGATGCAAATGAAGGCTACCTGCAGGTGCATGAAATTAGTTTGGACAAAATCAGTGGTTGTGCAGCAAAATCCAGTTTTCTTTTTATGTATTTTTGGACAAAATCAGTGGTTGTGCAGCAAAATCCAGTTTTCTTTTTATGTATTGTATTTTCACTTTACCCAACATTTTACTTAAGCTGCGAGGTTTGGCATTCTGTGATCCTTTGGGAGAAATTAAGCAAGTTCCTGGGAAGACCAGCTTCCATAAAACCGTTGAACCACTGGATGACCCCAGAAAACACTATACTTCCTCTGGTGTTTCTGATGATCACACCCAAAGGATGAGCTCTAAGTACAGTTCATGAGCTTCTCACTCACAGCCTCTGTGGATCGTTGGCCTACACCCACAGCCCAGGAGATGAACATCCAAGAGATAATTCAATCGCACAAACACTTGATGGATAAACAGTATTATGAGAAAGCAGTGTCAGTGCAATTCATAAAGATCACTTCGATTGCAAACTGGCTGTTTGAAGAGGCATTTCTCATTTGCAAGGTATGGAGTGCCTTAAACAACATGGCTATAAGCTATGACTGAGATATCTGTCCACTGCCAAAACAGGACTAAAATAGATAAGTTACTTACTTTGTAACCGCCAGTGCCTTGACCATTATTTTCCCAACTGGTAATATGATAGGACCCTTATACTTAAAAGTGTTACACTCTCCATAGCCAGGTTTCCTAATGAGTTCTGGTTTACTTCCATCTAAAGTGTAATAAATAGAGACCTCAGGTGTATCTGAAACAGAGAAAGCAATTATGCAAACTGTATTCAACTTTGGAAAAACAAGCTCTGCAATCCAGAGTACTCACTACTGTGCTTGATTTTTGTCACATAAACAAAAAAAACCAGTTCCATAAATGACTGAATGTTTGGGACCAAAACCGTTTATGCCATGAAATAGCAGTTACTCATTAGACACAATTTCATTATAAGCAACATTTCTTATATCAAAGTAGCTGTGCAATGGTTTTGTATGAAAACATTGCAGCAGCTTACTCGTTCCAATGACAGAAAAGATGTTTTCTGCACAGTGAAAGGTGACATTTTAAAACATGTAAGGAAAACATTGAGGGTGAACCTGGCACACGATATTTGCAAGTACTGTTTTTACAGTCTAAGTAAAATGCAACAGCTTAAAACTTTGACCTTGGAAGCAATTAAGAGTGCTAACACATATAACTTGTATGTCGGTAATATTACTTGAATGCATAAAATTACATGCAGGTATATTTGGCGCATCAAAGGCTGTTAGTTAATTTTGTAAGTTCCTTAATGAAACGGACACCCATAAAAATCAATTAAATGTGAACAAAAGTATAGAGGCTAAACATTTCAAATGAACACAGAAATAAAGGTTTGACATGGAGTCAAAGGTCTTATTCATACCTGATTTTATTTCTATGAGAGTATTTGTGTCTATTTCATGTTTAGCCTTCCCTGGAAGAGGGATTCGAAGTGGTATGACCTGAGGAACTGAGACAGAGCCAGCTGTCATTTTTCTCAACGGCAATCTTTAAAAGAGAAAAATAAAAAGGCAGACAGTAATTTTTCTAAAGAGAAGAATGCACTGAGAAATACAGTCTTTTAACATGATTCCTTGTCCTCATTCGTTTCTCTTAAAAGAGAGAACACCGGATTTTTAAAATGTTGTCATTAATATTTCCATTGTTTTCACATTGAAAGGGGCAACATCCTACTTCCAACTCAGTCTCCTGTTGCAGAACTGTGAACAGAACTTGAGATGAATACTGTGAGGGAGACTCCACAACCTCTCTGGGCAATCCGTCCCAGTGCTCGGTCACCCGCACGGGCAAAGAAGTTCTTCCTCACGTTCATGTGGTACCACCGAGAACAGCCTGGCTCCATCCTCTCGACATCCACCCACCGACTACGGGCGGACCGGATCTTTACCCGACCCGAGGAGGCTGACAGCTTTTCCCTCAAGGCCCCGCCTGCTCCTGGCACACCTGGACCAAGGCACGCTGTGCTCCGTTTCAGCCTTCTGGGACCGCATCCCTGGCGGGACACACACCATCCCGGCGGCATCCCCATCCCGGCCCGGCCCGGCCCCCGCCAAAGGGCGGCCAAGCCCCCGCATTCCGTCCCCTCCCGGCCCGGCCCGGGCCCCCGGCCCGCTCCCTCCGCCGCCCGGCCCCGCTCACCCGCCCGCTCCCTCCGCCCTCCCGTTTCCACGGACGACGCTCGCGGCCGCTCCCGCTCCCACTGGTCGTGGCGCAGCAACCGGCCCCGCCCCCCTCCGTCATCTCGCCGCGCCGCACCTGCAAGTACCACATTTGGGGTTTTTTTTGACGTGTTTAGAGGTTTTTGGTCTTTCCCTGATGTGTTACTTTGTAAAGCAGAATGTGTTACAGAGGCCTACTGTAACAGTTGGGTGCAAGTGTAATTGCAGGGATTCATCAGTTGGAAAGATGGCCACAGGTGATAACTGCAAGGACCATTAATGATGGGGAATTAACCAGCTGGAGAGAAGAGGATGGATGTTAGCCCATGCTCTTATATGTCTCCTCTGAATCCCTCACAAAATGGTTGTGGATTACTCTGATGGCACACAGGTGAAACACATCAAGGAATTTTTTTGTATCTTCTGTAAATTTCCCACATCTCACTGGGCATTTCTCTTTACTGTATCAGGAGTCAGCCTGAGATAGGAGCAAGGATCACACTCAGCTACTCCGACCATGTGTTCAAGAACAGAGAGTATCTGTTTAGTCTTGTTGGGTCAGTGTGGTGTAAACTTGAGTAGCAGCCATGTAATACGCCCACAGCAATCACCAGCTGATGGCTTCATGGCCAGCAGTGAAGGAGTCCTTTCTCCCACAGGCAGTCTTGACGGCAGAATACCTCTCTCTGAGATGGGTTGGTTTCTCTCTCTCAGTCTTTCTCTGCGAGGTGTCCCGGGGGAAAAAACTTCCTCTCAGGAAAAGGAGTTGGCCGAGACCAGGCTCCCTGCTCTGTCTGGTCAGCCAACCAAAACCAAAAACTCCTCCAAACAAAGAGCCTCCCCAAACATGCTCCCCCAGCAACTGCACTGCCCCAGGGAACCTTCTCCTGCTTGTTCTTCTCACAGACATGCTCTGAAGCACTTTCAGGCTGGCAGGGTCCTGAGTGTGCACTACAACTCGTCCAGAGTTAATCGAGGCGGGGAAGGATACCTTGGTATTCTGCCTTTGGGACTGCCTGTGGGAGAAAGGACTCCTTAATTGCTGTTCGTGAAGCCATCAGCTGGTGATTGCTGTGGGCATATGTGGCTGTGAGCAGCTGTTGAACTGCCAAGACAGTCCTGCCTTCCCCCCTCCCTCCTTGGGTTGCCACAAGTTTCTCAACCCCCTCCCCTCTCCGGAATTGGGACTTTGTTTTGTTTCTCTTCTGAAAGTTTTCGGTAGCGCCATTTGTTGCTTATTCAGATTTTGTTAATAAAAAGCTGTTCTTTTCCTTTTCCACACTTCCATCCGAAGTTTCTTAATTTCTACGTTGTAATCTTGTTAAACATACATACCCACGTATTGGAATGCAGCTGCAGAACACACTACCAGAAATTCAATTAAGGAATAAATGCAACAGATGCATCACCAGGCACCAATACAAGAAATAAAGCACAGATATACATCACAAAAGTCAGAGTTTTAATGATAAACTAACAGGTAAGAAAGATAATAGAATCAGTGACTTTTGTTTGACATATTCAGAATCTTTCCCACATCAGACTCTTACTCTTCAATTAGATGGGAGCTATCATGGAAAAAAGTGTGAGCTTTAGCACTTTAGCATCCACCAGTAGCATTAGTCTGAAAGCAAAGTTTGGGATCTCATCCTTGATACCACTTGTTAGCGAGTTTTTCTGATCAGCTAATGGCTTCTTTTCTCTCATTCAGAATAAGTGTCTGTAGAGCACCCAACACAATCCTCAGAAGTGATGCATCATCACGCAGGTGCTTCTGTGGCACTTTTCGAGTCACACAACCAAGTTTTGGTTGAGAATGGCTTTACCTTTCCACTTCAGCTTTGATCTTCAGCACTGACTCAATTTCCAGTCCACTCACGGGACAGCTCACACAACAGATACATTTATATATCATTAAGCAAAGGTGCTCTGTGTCCTGAAGTTGTATGGAAATTTAGAAGTCCACTTTCAAAAGAGGCAAGCTGCTTTGTCACTTTGGCTGTGAATCAAGTTTACAGTTTTCTTTCACTTTAAAACTCCAACCACTCTGTCATATAAATACAGTTCGATGGAGAAATCTCACCACCTTCATGACAATCATCAAAAACCTACAAAGGAAAGCCCAGTGTCAGCAGAGTAATTACTTCGTTAGACAGTGCTCACATGCTTTCTATTTCTTCCCCGGTAGGAAAGCATTAGTCTAACACAGGCCAAAATCTAGTCAGCTCTGAGGGAGAAGAGCAAAACAGATCCTGTAGTAAACTATGCAAACAGACAGGCTGGCAAGTTTTAGCTACATAACAGTTTACAGTTCAGGGCGGAGAGACCAAAAGCTCGACAGACATAAGTTAGCTTGTTAAAAACACTGGCACACTTGGGATCAGAAATATAATTTGGAACAGGCTACATTTAACAGCATTCTTTCACATACAGTCCGTTAAAGAGACTGGATGTAAGAGGGAAACACCATGGTAGACCAGGTGCTTTAGACCAACTAAAGAACCTTCCTCTTACACCACAGCTAAGGCATCATGGGCAACTCTTAAGCACAGCTGGCTTAGAAAACCATGGGGCTCACTCATGGCAGAACCTTGCAATGGCCATTTGCAAGACTATATTGAAGATCTGCATGCACACACCTAACCATACAGAGAATTAGTTACTCACAGGGCAGAGTCCACAGGGTGTCCTGACTAATCCAGTGGGTTGTATGAGAGGACTAACGGCTCTGTACAACTTCATCTGTCCATCCACACTGCCTACTGTCCCTTCCTTTGCAGCAATAATAGTCATCTCCACTTTTCCATCATATATCAGCGTATTTAAAATGGTTTCAATGTCTTCCATTGACAACTCTACCTAAGAAACAATTTGTAGAAGAAATATTAGGAAAGACGGATGCCAGTAAGTCCTGCAAGGAGAAAATGAGCAAACAAATTCTTAAAGTTCCAACCTAGCTCAGAAGAAGGCACCATTCTCTCTTGGGAACTTTATGGGGTTGTGCAGATGCAAAAAGGAAAGCAAATACTAGTATCATCTCCTACCTACCAAGCCCTTTTGAATGGCTTGGGGTGGAGAATGTAGCGGTTTTGAGTCTAGGGGTTCCTTGGTAACCAGGTTGTAACCAAGGAACCAAAGTCATGTTCCCAGTATTCCATTCGATTTTTACATAAGCAATGGTATAACCAAGAAGGGAGAGGAAGCTCTCGCTCTTCTTTTTCCGGTGGACTGAAGGTGAGCATTCTTTGCTGTTGTTCTGCCCGGGCGAAGGAGTGAGGCCTGGTTGGCCTTGAGAAGCGGATAGTGCTGGTGGTTGTTGGTGGGGTTCTCTGCTGTCTTGAGGGAAGTATTTGTTTTTTGTCCCTTTTTCCCTTTTTTCTCTTTTCCTTTCCCTTTCTTTTTCCCTTTTGGGGGTTCCCTGTGGGTGATATCTTGCATATAATTCTATTTATATATATAAATGTGTGATACTTGGAATTTGATTTGGTTTGGGTTCTTTTGATTTTGTATGTTTTTTTTGGTTTGTCCGAAGAGAGGGAGAGGGAAGGGGTTTTTTTTGCTGTGGTCCAGGCAATTGGCTGGGAGTCAAGTCGAACCTGAGACAAATTGCACTAGCCTTGGTTTACCAAAAAGAACTTCACTATGCATATGAAGTGTCTACATCATCCTAGCATGATACAGTTCCAGTTTTGCAGGAAAATAATTGTGAAAGAAGAAAAAGACTGCTGAAGACACACTTGTTGATGGTGACCAATAATTAAGAAGGGTTTTTTCCCCTCCTTTTCTCTTTCCCTCCCCTAAAACTCCTTGAAATGCACAGGTAAACTTAAGAGAAGTGATAAACTATAAACAAGCTGAGACGGTTAACAAGGATGTGAATGCTAATTCTTTTATACATCTTTGAAAACCCAGATGTACAAACTAGCCTGGAATCCTATGCATCAATGACCCTCCCCAAAAAGCAATAAAGCTTCAAAGCTCACCTCCACTAAACTGTAGGGTACTAAGGCACTTATGAGACCTTCACCAAATCTGCAGTACCCAACTCCTACAGCAAGTCATGCACTGACAACTTGAACCGTAAAAAGATTAATCTGTTCTGACCTTACTGATTCCCAGTTCACAGATGTATTTCCACACTTCATGTGATGAGGCAAATGAACTGTTTCTCTGTATCATGGGGTTCTGTTTGCTTTCTCGAGCTGCCTCTGCCTGAGAAAAAAAGCAAAAATTAGTTATGGTCAGTACTCACTGCCAAGAGCCTCCTTCATGGTTCAGTTTCAGGTAGACTAAAGTATAAAAGTTGATTTCCAAACCATTTCTGGGACATGTTTAGCATTTAAAGACATATCCTTAAGACTGATGTATATGACACAATGCAGTGCACAACCAAATATAATTTTATACTAATTGACACAAAATTTACACTGTAATTTAGATTAATATGATGGAATATCAGCATTTGGCATTTTGTTGACAAAAAAAAAGATTCTGCTAAACTTAGTGCCAGATAAAACATATTGTAATGGAACAGACAAATGCTGTAAACTGCAAACATATTTAATGAACAGCAGACTTCTCCTGCAGTTAGACTAGGGACAGTTGTCTTCTAGGCAGAGCTAGGTGATTGACTGCTGCCTTCTACCCTCCCAAAAATGAGGAGCTCTGCAGAAAACACAGCGACTTTTGCTAGATTTTTGGGTCCTGTGTACTTTGCTGCCTGGTTTGTCATTGGACCTCGGTGACCAGTACAGATTGCCAATCTGGTTGCAAGTAACAGCTGACACCTAAGGAAAATTTAGCCTTGTTTGGTACTGGTTTTATAAAGAAAACAATTACTTGCACAACTCAAATGGAAAGTGGCTTGAATATTGACACTCACCTTACTTTGCAGAAATTTAAAACACTGCTGATTTAACACCTCCACAAATTCAGACTCAAAGTCTTGGTCATTGTACCAAGCACCACCAGTCACTGACCGGTCAGGCTGCAGGTTATACAGCATATAGACCTTCTTCTTGGATGCCTGTTAGAGAAAAGTGCACAGCTCTCAACAAAGGGAGAAAACTGAAAGTATTTCTCAAGAAAAGAAAATCTAAGCAGATAATCTGCAAAAGAGATAGTTCATTACTCCTATAGCTCAGGCACAGCAATCCAGCTGACTCAAGCTATCCTTAACATGTTTGACCCTCTGGTAACACAGAGATAAAGAGACAATCAACACATTTCGATTCCTAATCATTTTACAACATAGTGTTAGAAGAGGGAATCCTGCTAACAATACGGACACAGTACAAACCTCACAGAAAAAGATCTGAGTTTAATTTTAGTCTATTGACTCTAATCCCTCTCCACAGTCAAAGGGGAGCAGGAAAATGTCCTTAAAAGACAGCAAAAACAAACGGAGAAGCTTTCGACTGTTTCTGCAGGATTGAACCCATGCACGGATAACAAGAAGTACCCTTATGTGATTACACCCAGCAGCCAATGTTAGCCCTTGTGAGCCCACTCTTTCCTGCCACACCTAGACAGGGGAAATGGGAATGCTGCTTCAGTCCTGAGAGTAGCAGTCAGTTAAAGGACAATAGTTATCCAAAGGCCGTCCAAAGAAATACTCAACAACTGGAGCACTTTCAAGCAGTGTTACATCCCCTGCATGATTAGATAAAGCCAGCATCCCTCACAAGAACATGATAAAGCTACTGCTTTTCTAAGTCCAACTTCTCCATTTCCATCTGGTTTACCAGACCCCACAACAAAACAGTCTTTGTTGGAAACTAGGAGAACGCTTGTAATTAAGCAGGTAAGGGAGAACAGGATACTGCATAAGCATTGTAACAGTGTGATAAACAATGAAAAGAATAAGTCCTGCTCTGGTATGTGGACTGCACACAGGAAAGTAGCTGGAACTTGAGTAACAGGAACAAAGTAGAGGAATCAAGACTGAAACAGAATCAAATGTCTTGGAAATTGTTTAAAGTAAACAATATAAATCCAGTATGAACCAGATAACTGAAGGAAGGTTCAGGAGATCCAGAGGAACCTTGCAAAGCCACTTGCAGCCAGGTAACCACATCACTAGTGTGGCTGAGTTTGCTTCAGTATCAGAAATATCAAATTGTGCTACAACAACACTGGGACCAACTGAGAAAGCATAATCATGGGCTTATTATATGTATATAAATAATATTATATACACATATATATTATATATATGCTTATTTGGGTGGAGACTGAGTGGAGAAAGGAGGAAAGAGTGGTAGAAAAGAGTTAACAAACACAAGAAGGCAACAAGTTAACAAACACAAGAAGAGAGTAAGGTGTAAAAGTCAGAACAAGAGAGGACAGGATAAGCAGACAGTGGGACTGTCGATGCATATGGACAGCAGAGAAGCTCACCTGTGCACCCAAGCCCACTGGCATGTTGGGGAAACCCAGCAGGCTCTGCCCTAGGTTTATGTCCTAAAGACCAGGTATGGGAGTGCAGGGGAAAATGACAGAACTGCAGATTTGCAACAAGCAGCGCAAGGAGGTTTGTGAAAGGTAACAGAACTGTAACAACAGTTGTATGCAATAAGGATTTGAGAGAACTAAAACTCCAATTTGATTTTAACGGTATATAATTAATAGTGGGGGAAGAGTGGCAGAATTGTATATTAAGAGTGATGTTTATTAATAGTATATTGGTAATTTAATAAACATTATAGCTTCTCATATCTGTTGCACCTCAACCTGCACACTGAAGGCAGAGTCAAACACTGGTGCACAGTGAAAAAGAAAGCTGGAGGTAGGATGAGGTTTCTTTGTTTCCAGTCCTCTGTTAAAAGCATACAAAAGCACGCAGTAAATGTTTGAAATTGTTTAAAAAAAGTCACAAAATACTCACTGCCACAGATTTAACTGCTTTAATTAGTTTCTTGCTTTCCAAATTTTTCAGTATCTTGTTGATCTCCGTTAAAGGCAAATTACTTTTGTATCTAATGTCCCTGCTCCAAATACCTGTTTAAAAACAGAGAAGTGAACTGAAAATAAATAGATGAAACCATTTGTTTCTGTACATACTCACATACCAAAAGCCACAACACTGCTTAACTCACCTACCACAGGATCCCTACTACTCCCAGCAAAAGGGAGGGAACTGACAGAAGGGATTTGGAGAAAACAGACAAGTGACAAAAGCAAGACACCTATTACAACCACCAAAGCAAAACACCTGTGTCTCATTTAAACTAAGACACAAGTCTTCTAAAAGAGCCCCTCCCAAAAGGCAACCAGGACAGGTTATTTTAACAGAGAAACATGTAACCTTCTCTTTTGTTTTTAAAAAGCAGATACATGGAACATTAGCTACAAACCTGGTATGCGGACTCAAGGTTTTATATTTGTATTGGTCTAGGAAGCATTTACAAATTTGGACAGGAATGGTTCCATAAGCAAACAGAGTTAGTACCGTTCACAGTCATAATTTAAACTACCTTTGTTGCCAGCATCTTCTATAATTTGGTAAACTAGCTTCTCTTGATTGTCAGAGCCTTTCATTTTACTGTAAAATAAGACAGATATCAGGATTTTTTAAACATCCAAAATTTGAAAGAAGATGGATTTTTTTTAAAACTATGAACAAGTACTATAAAAACCAAAAAACACTGCACAAAGAAAAACTCTACACAGTAAGCAAGCCATTGGCAAATATAATACATGATAGTAAACCTCTCTGGATCAAGCCAAGCTTGCCAGTGAGAAGCCACAGTAAAGAGAAAAGAGCACAGTATGAAAGAAAAAAAGTGACCAAGAAGGAATCACTCAGCTTGTCCTAACAATGGGGAATCTGGGGTCACATACTAACACAACTTCAGAAAGTCAAACACAGCACAGAGCCTAATTCAGGATAATCTGTCTCTAGACAGAACATCTTCAAAAGGATAGTAGAACACTCCCAACTCTAGAACATGCCTTCTCACTGGTCCAAGAAAGCATGAACCCAGTAATCCTTTCCTAAAGCATTTGAAAGAAAGGATGATACACCTGCACTAAGAATGATTTTGAAGGATATTTTTTCCAGAAGTATATCTAGGTATCTTTTACTCAGATTTACACAGGCATCACAAGACATGGTTTAGAGATACATTTTAATAAATCAAAGAGCACGAGTTCAAGTGGCCTCCTGGGACAGCTGTAAATATCAGTGCTGATCCTGCAACACGAGCAGTGAGGAAGTTCACAGAACTACAGTTTGAAGATGGTTTGGTCAGGCTTCAGCTGGGTTTCACCTGAGCATATATGTATGTCTGCAGAGATCACTTTGCTGTCATTTGAACCAGAAGCTCTGCTAGGAAGTTAGAGCTATAGTCCCATGGCACCGTCTGCTCAGTAGAGAACACTACACCTAAAGCAGATTTCAGGGTGACCTCAGGGGAGTTAATGTACCCTCCTGAAACAAGCAGTTACGTTCTGTGACGTCCCTGTGACAGAATCCACATTACACTGCTGAGTGCCTTCTCAGCAATGCTGCACAAGTTGCAGAATTATGTTCCAAATATATTTACCCAGCAAACACAAGCTTACCTTGCGTTTTGAGAATCTTTGATTCTGTAGAGGAGACCTGCATTGCTCCTGAGGAGGTCCAGTTGCCCCTAGGAGAGATGGGCACAATGCATTTACTTTTCTTCAAAGACCTTGTTTCAGAAGGAGGCAAAGGATATTCTAATATTCTAAAATAAAAACCTTATTTAATGTCAACTAAATAAAAATGAAAACCAATATTTCTAACCACTGGAAACAATAATAGCCTTGAGGATATTTTCTCTCTACAAGTACAATAATACCCTTGAGGATATTTTTTTCCTTGACATGTATCCACTTATCATCAGACATTAGAAATAACAAACAGTTCCTGACCCTTCCCACAACATCTATGCACTTTCTATTACTTCTCCTAACTTTCATATGGTTAGGAGGGACATCAGGTTCTTGTGTACTTAGCTCTCACTTTCCAACAAAACACTCATTTGCATGGCAACCCAGAAATCACAATGGAGTTCAGTAGCTTTGCTATTGGAACTTGGAATTGTTCAAAATTCTAGTTTTTACTAAGTAGACATCACTGGAAAGTTGTCAAGTAGGACAGGCAGTGACTCTCAGAAGCAAGTTAAGGGCATCTCTCACACACAGAAAAATTCTTCTGCTCTGGACACTTGTGCCTAGGCCAGGAAAAACCTTATTTCCTATTTTGAAGAGGCAAGCAATTAAACAAGCCCAAAAGTGTAACCCTGTATAACAGCATTAATTAACATTTTCATTGCCAGCTGATCCTTTCCAGTAGTTACAGTCTTGTTTCTTACAGATTTGCATTTCCTGCCTGATTGAACTCACACTTCAATGCTCTTCTACAGATGAACTACTTGCAGATTAAATCAAGCAAGGCACCTAATGTTTATTAAGCCTGAGCTCTCACTGCCATTTCACCCCCATGTCTGAAGTACTTTCTAGATCTTCCCACCTATTCCCCACTCCTAAGCATCAATTTTAAGCAAATTCCAGAGACTTAACTATCTTTGAAGCCTCATGAAATCTGGACAGCCCTTTCAAAAGTTACTGAACACACTTGGTAACATTTCTAATGGAACTCATTTATAACAGAAAGACTAAAAACTGAAAGATTACTTCCAGTGACATCTAGTATGGATCATAGGATCAAAGTTAAGAAGTTTCTTCCATTAGTGAAAAAAACAAAACCGAACAAAACAACAAAAAACAACCCCCACACCTTGCTCAGTTTGGATACTTTCCACTATCCTTCTTTCTAAGAAAACAAGTTGCCCTCTTTTTCAGAGTGCTCTCTGGACTGCACCACCCAAACTGTTTTATTTTCTGACTCCACATGCCCAGGAAGCAGATAGGTATGGAATCAAAAAGAACCTTGATCTTTTAAAGAGCCTGAACTCTTGAGCTGCTACTCAAGTTTACACCACACTGACCCAACAAGACTAAACAGATACTCTCTGTTCTTGAACACGTGGTCGGAGTAGCTGAGTGTGATCCTTGCTCCTATCTCAGGCTGACTCCTGATACAGTAAAGAGAAATGCCCAGTGAGATGTGGGAAATTTACAGAAGATACAAAAAAATTCCTTGATGTGTTTCACCTGTGTGCCATCAGAGTAATCCACAACCATTTTGTGAGGGATTCAGAGGAGACATATAAGAGCATGGGCTAACATCCATCCTCTTCTCTCCAGCTGGCATTAATTAATTAATTAATTCCCCATCATTAATGGTCCTTGCAGTTATCACCTGTGGCCATCTTTCCAACTGATGAATCCCTGCAACTACACTTGCACCCAACTGTTACCCTAAACCATTCTAACACAATACAAAGTAACACATCAGGGAAAGACCAAAAACCTCTAAACACATCAAAAAACACCCAAACGTGGTACTTCTCAGTGGTGGCTTCCTCACTCACTGATCCGCACCAATATGCACGTTGTATTGCAGGCTAGAAAGAGTCAGTTGAGGCACACCTTGATTAACTTCGGCAATCATTAGTGCTTATGGTAACCAAAAGTAAACTATGGTAACTGTATATCATAGCAAATGCTGTTAAAACCAAAGGGATTAATCTGCTAGCCCTGCCCAACAGGTAGACTGTAGGTACAGAGTGTGTATGTATGTGCTGGGGGTTGGCTGAGATAGAATGAGGAAGGGGAGAGCCCCCTACCATGGAGAGCAGCCTGTTGATGGCCACAGCTCGCTGCTGGGCTTCCATGTGAGGCATGTCATTCTGGATCACCTGGTCTGTGATACCGTAAGGGAACTGGTGGCACAGCTCAATAATCCTGTGGGAGGAGAAAAGCAAGTTTAAAGTCATGTTCTGTTGCACCTGAAACCAAATTCAAGCAGTATAGAGTCAGGATAGAAGAGAGCGACAAGAAAAACTCAGGGCAAAAGTATCCAGCCACTGCTTCTCGTTCATGTCTCTTGAGGGAACTCAGCATCTACTCCCTTGTGCTGACAAACACAAACCTGTCCCAGCTGCCGAACCAGCTACCTCTGCTCTTGCTGACAACACTGAGCGTAGTGCTCCATTTTACTTTTGTGTTGTTTCCATTATTAACAACATGGATTTAAAGCTCCCTGTACATTTTATTATACAAAAGGTTCCAATGGAAAGGAACTGGTGGCTAGTGAGAGAAGGCAAATAGTGATGAAATACCTTTAAGAACAAAAAAAACCAAACCAAAACAACAAAACGCAAAACCCCCACAATTCCCTTTTCCAAGACCAGAAAAACACTGGGGCAGCCAAAGGTGACCTGGCCCCGTCCCCCACCGCCACCTCAGCACCTCCCAGCACGGAACTCTTAGTGCTTTAAACAACCACAACCCTCTCCTTCAGCACCTGACCACACTCAGGCCTCGAACCGCTCTCCCCAGGCCTTGAACAACGCCCCTCAAGGCACCGGCACGCCCCACACCTGTCCCCCCACCACTCCCTGGCCCCCCCTACGGGCCTTCACACACTCCTAACGCGTCCTGCCTCTCCCCTCGCCCGGCAGCCTCCCCGCCTGCCCCGAGAGAGCCCGCAGGGCCGCACCTGCTCTCGATGTCCATCGGGTCGGGCACCTCCGGCTTTACCTTCACCTCCGCCATGCCGCTGCAGGCGCGGCGCGCCGAGATGACGTTTCAGCCGGGAAACCTAGGCGGGCAGGGCCGGGATGGGGATGCCGCCGGGATGGTGTGTGTCCCGCCAGGGATGCGGTCCCAGAAGGCTGAAACGGAGCACAGCGTGCCTTGGTCCAGGTGTGCCAGGAGCAGGCGGGGCCTTGAGGGAAAAGCTGTCAGCCTCCTCGGGTCGGGTAAAGATCCGGTCCGCCCGTAGTCGGTGGGTGGATGTCGAGAGGATGGAGCCAGGCTGTTCTCGGTGGTACCACATGAACGTGAGGAAGAACTTCTTTGCCCGTGCGGGTGACCGAGCACTGGGACGGATTGCCCAGAGAGGTTGTGGAGTCTCCCTCACAGTATTCATCTCAAGTTCTGTTCACAGTTCTGCAACAGGAGACTGAGTTGGAAGTAGGATGTTGCCCCTTTCAATGTGAAAACAATGGAAATATTAATGACAACATTTTAAAAATCCGGTGTTCTCTCTTTTAAGAGAAACGAATGAGGACAAGGAATCATGTTAAAAGACTGTATTTCTCAGTGCATTCTTCTCTTTAGAAAAATTACTGTCTGCCTTTTTATTTTTCTCTTTTAGAGATTGCCGTTGAGAAAAATGACAGCTGGCTCTGTCTCAGTTCCTCAGGTCATACCACTTCGAATCCCTCTTCCAGGGAAGGCTAAACATGAAATAGACACAAATACTCTCATAGAAATAAAATCAGGTATGAATAAGACCTTTGACTCCATGTCAAACCTTTATTTCTGTGTTCATTTGAAATGTTTAGCCTCTATACTTTTGTTCACATTTAATAATGATTTTTATGGGTGTCCGTTTCATTAAGGAACTTACAAAATTAACTAACAGCTTTTGATGCGCCAAATATACCTGCATGTAATTTTATGCATTCAAGTAATATTACCGACTCCAACCCCAAGACACCAAAGTATCCTCAGGAGCCCCACAGTAATCCACCAGATCCCTGTAGCACTCCCTCCTGCAGGCCTTGGTGGCCGCAGAGAAACTGCAAGGCCTTGATTGTGGGACAGTTGCTCCAATACCATTCTGGCTGTGTGCAAGCAGCACACAAGGAGCAGTTCAGTCTAAAGCAGAATCACCATTGTGCACAAAGGAGGACTGGAATTTCATGGGCTGGCAGGATAAGCACTAATATGCTCACTACCCATTCAGCCAAATGCCATTTTCACGTGGAATCACGTGCCAGAGTGCTTTTTAATTTCAAGAAAAACATTAACTTGGCTGTATTGTGAACTTGGAAAGATCAGCTGGCAGGTACTGTCTGAAATGTCTAGCCTTTACAGTCCATAGTTTAAAACATTAGCATTAATGTCAAACTTGAAGCTTTGATAGTGAAAACATTTGTCCCATGGCTGAGTGGCTGTTTGTTTTTTACTGTTTTCATTTTGTTGGGTTTTTTTCCTTTTTGCTTTGATGGTAACTGGCTCCCTTGGGAGTTGCACTGGGACATGGTTATTCATCTGGTGCTGTTGGAGCACCATCTCCTGTCTCCTCCTGATATGGCTCCCACAGGGCTCCAAAGAAGAAAGAGGAAGCCCTTAAACCATGCTCTGGTTTCCTTTCTGCCTCCACATGCAGAACCTTTTTTTGGAAGAAACTGTAGTGAGTGGAGACAGCTGGGTCTTCTGTTGATGTGAAACACCTCAAACAGAACTGTACTCTGCCACACAGAGACCACCTTTCCCTCCTCTTGCTTCATGTGGCTGGGAGTTTCTGTCATTTCACCTGTTAGAAGTGCGTGGCCAGGCCCTCTTCAGCTGTGCTGAGCCCAGCTTAGCCTGCAACCTGGAGGAGACAAAAATGTAACCATGACAAGCTCCAGGGATGATGTCCAAGTTCTTGTTGAAAATGTTCCCCTCCAAACTGAGAAATTTAATAACTGCACTTTTTGCGCTCTTTGGGAGATCTTGGGGGGAGTGTGGAGGATGGAAACTGGAGCTCAAAGGTTTTTCTCTTTCAGCTGTTAAACACAAAACAAGTTGGGGCTTACGTAGGGAGCCTGTAGTGTTTTCCTTTCTCTCCCTTTTTGAGCAAGCTTGAAATTCTTCCAGGAAAATGGAAGAATGTAAAGCTTTTACTTGGGTTATTTGGCCCAGAAACACAGGGTTTAAGGTTGTGCTCCTCTTCCAAACAGCCACAGGTTAGCCCAGCAGGCAGGTAAACACCACACAGCTGTTCTCTCACTTCCTTCCCAGTGGGATGGGGGAGAGAATTAGAAAAAAGGTAAAACTTGTAGATTCAGATAAAGATAGTTTGGGAGGGCAGAAAAGGAAGAGGAAAATAATGCTAAAAGAGGATATAAATCAAGTGATGAACAATGCAGCTGCTCCTCATGTATTGTCCAGTGCCCAAGGAGTGCCTGAGCAGTGGGCTGGCAACCCAGCAGCCAAGTCCTTCTAGTTTTATTTTTCAGCATGACACCATATGGTATGGCTTATCTCTTGGACCAGTTGTTCTGGTTATGTCCCCTGCCAAATTCTTGTGCACCCTGAGCCTCCTGGCTGGCTGGGCAGCATGAGAAGATGAAAAGTCCTTGACTTAGACACTAAGCATCGCTCAGTAAAAACTAACACACCAGGGTGTTACCAATATCATCCTGATCCTAAATCCAAAATGCAGCACTAAACCAGCTCCTAGGGAGGAAAATTAACTCTATTCCAGCTGAAAGCAGGACACAAGCTCATTGCTAAGTGTTTTAGTTAATCTAATGGTGGTAGGGTGGGTACAGCATGGCCTTGAAGCCCTGGGCTCTGTTGCTTTGTTGTTGAGACGAAGCAATGTGAGGAAGATACAAAATGAAGGACAAACTGGCAGCTTCAGAAGAGCTGATTTGCTTTGCTTCATACTGCTTGGAGAGCAAGTCCTGGGTCCGAGGATGTTAGCATTAGTAGTAATTTGAATTTTATACACTTTAGTATATGTTCCTAGGTAGAATGCTTCTACTTTTTTATCCCCCCTGTATTTGTGATCTTTCTGCTTGTGCTCACTGATTTTACACAGCATACAATTTGCCTTATGTCAGGAACCTGGGAAGACAAAATTAATGTTCAGCTCAGACAGCGTTTCATTTTGCTCTGTTTTGGACCTGGAACAGTGCTCTGCAGTGTTGCAGGCTTCAGTAGAAATGACACCTTTTCTGCTCTGGAAGAAGGAGTGAATGGCTCTTGGTTAAAGTAGTTTCCTGAAGCATTGCCTGGATAATGCCAATCTGACTGTAATGAGTAGTAGTGGTTTAATTTACTCATCAAACTAGTAATAGTAGCTTACTCATTAAACTGTAGTGCATGTTATATTCTTATATATATATGTCATTATAATCGCTGTTCTGTTACGGGTAAGAAACTGTAAGTTGTAGAATGGTTCATTAATCTATCAGCATTGTAAGCTGAAAAAGCATGAACTTTGCAGTTCTAAAGCTAGAAAGACAAACCATTGTGCCTTGTTAAGTAAATATTTTTGTATCTTATTTTTCTAAAAAGCTTATTGTCTCACAACACGCATAAAGTAATGAAAGAAAGGACAAGGATTGAAGAGTCGGGAACTGAAACGATACAGAATATCCAAGATGGACATCTGGAGATGCCTGCACGCTAGGCCTCAAGGTCTAGGGACTGATTGGAACTATGGGAGGAGAAAGCACCTGGCAACCGAAGCGAGAATGCAGAGAGGCCAACCAGAATCAGACCTGCAAAGCTCATATCCGATAGAAAAACAACAAGTGACAATGGGAGGGAAACCAGTAAGGGAATAAAAGTTACTGGTTTTGTTCACTGTGCTTGCGTGCCGTGAGTGGAGCAGGAGACTCCCCGGCTGCCCAGCATGCTGTTTTGCTTATTTGCATTTTCTATAAATCTTCAATAAATTTTTATTACTATATTTCAACTCAGTTTCATTTTACTTATAACATCACTGTGGAATTCTGTGTTCTGAAAATGGTTCTTATCTGTGTACTTATTCTGTTCCTTATCTGCCAGCCAATTCCTTCTGTTCTTTTTGGGGAAGGGAAGCAGGACTGCTAATGGAGCAGTCACAGATTGTTACAGGTGCTTTAAAGCTAAAAAGAGATTGCCTTCTTTTAAAAAATTTCTAATAGCCAAGCATTCCACCCCAGACTGTGCAGCAACATTTAAAACATTTACATTCCTAATTGCTCATTCTGTGTCAAGCTTGGCCACATTTTTGATTCTTGGTTTTACCAAAACCTTCATAATAGCTAAGAAAAGTATAAGGTTTGTCCCACATGGCTCATAAAGTAAGAACATCACCCTGTGGTTGGTCTCAAAAGTCAGCCTCTACAAGCAATTCCAGCTCCATGGTTTGCCAAGCTTTCATGTTTCTTGTGCTAGGTAACTGGAGGCATTTTGGCCACTTGCATCAGTGGATCTCCATAGCACTGCATCTCTTGAGTTTTTTATCTGTCACACCAGGTGTTGGCAGACACCAACATGATAACTGAGTTTGGATTCATTGGAGAAAAAAAGAGAGCCTAGGGATCAAACCTGCATGGATGACCACATTGCTGCACAGCATTTCAGATATGTTGCTCTTGTTGTTTTAAGCTGAGTGTTACTAAGCAACTTGAGAACAAACTTTAGGCTTTCTTCTAGTCAATCATTTTTAGAAAAATAAAAAATATTCAAAACACAGATTTCTGTTGTACTTAAAGAAAACAGGAAAAAACCCAAAGCTTGACAGCGCATGGGCAAATCACAGGGCATTAATTTCCTTAAAGCAAAGGTAGAGTGATGCCCACACAGAAGCCTGACCTGACTGGCTGCATGAATTTAAGGCGAACACACAAACTATTAGAAGCAGATTGAGATATTTCACTGCAATGCCTTTGTCCCTCGAAGTATGTGTCGAAGTCTGCAGCATTCAGAGATGGATTTCTGTGCATGCATTCAGATAGGACAGATCCCACTTGGCCGGCATTACACAAAGCTGCAATGGAGGATTCCTGTTGTTGGTCTCACTAGGAACCGTCTTGCCTCCTTGGCTTTGGAA